TGCAAGCAATATCGGCAAGTCCTCTCCACAAGCATGTCGGTTAGTGTTAGATACTAGATGTATATTATTGTTAGAAATGCTTCATTAATCATTGCATCATCACCTAACCCATTTAACTAAATGGTATTATTAGTTTTTATGGTATATATATATATATATATATGTATATATATAAGTACACACACACACACACTCGCACGCACATATAAACGCACGCACATACACACGCACGCATGCACGCACACGCGCGCACACACACACACACACACACACACACACACACACACACACACACACACATACACACACACACACATATATATTTATATACTTATATATTTATATATTCATATATTTATATATATCATATATATATATATATATATATATATATATATATATATATACACATATTCATATATTTATATATATATTTATATATTTATATATACATATATTTAAATATTCATATATATATATATATATATATATATATATGTATTTATATATTTATATATATATTTATATATAAATTTATATTTATATATATATATATATGTATATTTATATATATATTTTTTGTATACATTTATATATTCATACATATATATATATATATTTATATATATTTATATATATGAGGATGAGAATTATGATCCTCATCACCATCACCATCATCCTTATCCTCATCACCATCATTCTCATCACTTCATCATCATCATCACCATTGCCAACATAGCCCCTACCACCACCACCACCGCATATCCACCTCACCGCCGCATTTCCAAACAACCCTTATTACTTTCCTACCACAAAACACCTTCGTTCAATAGGATTTTCTAAATTTTCTCAAAAGCCAATAGATTTTTTATTTTTTTTTAGCATATTCTTAGCATTATCATCATTACCATCACAAACATGGTCATTATCATCACCCTATTCATCCTCATGATACTTAAAATCCTCATCCTCATCTTTATTACCATCGTCATCACCATCAACAACATCCCCATCGTCATGTTCATCATTAATATCACTATAATCACCACCGCCGCCATCATCATAAGACCCATCTCCCTTTCTTAATATCCAAATTACCTTCATCATCGTCACCACCACCATCGTAACCACCACTAGCCCCATCGCCACCATCATTATCATCTTCACCATCATCATCTTCATCACCACCATCATCCTCACCATCATCACCAACAGAACCACTACCACCACCACCATCGCATATCCCCCTCTCAGCCACATTTCCAAACAACCCTTATTACTGTCTTACCCCAAAACACCTTCACTCAACCCAGCTGAAACCCGACTTAAGAATCACACGTTCCTCCACCCCTTCTGCAGGAGAACAATGGGATATCCTCCGTCAGTGCACCTTTCTACTTCAAGATAACTCTCCTGTTGGCTGCAGTCTACGTGGCTCTCTTCTCCCAGCTCTCCTCTCTTGACGTGAAAACTGCCTTGAATTGGACAAGACGGGTACGTGTGGTTTTACAGTTTTTTTTTTTTTTTTTTTTTTTTTCTATTTCGTGTGTGTGTGTGCGTGTATGTGTGTGTGTGTGTGTGTGTGTGTGTGTGTGTGTGTGTGTGTGTGTGTGTGTGTGTGTGTGTGTGTGTGTGTGTGTGTGTGTGTGTGTGTGTGTTTGTGAGGGGGGAGGGGTTTATGGGGGGTGGGGGTGTTCTTAGGTGTAAATGGAGTGGTGAGTAGGTAGGTTACTGGGTGAGTAGGTAATAGTAATGATAATGATATTAATGATAACGTTTGGTGATGACAGTGATAATTACAATGGTAATGGTAGTAGTGATAGTAGCAAATAGAGAAATAGTAATAATAACATCATCAATAATAATAATGAAGGTGATAATAATAATAATAATAAATATGATAATGATAATAATAGTAATGATAATAATAATAATGATAATAATAATAATAATAATAATAATAATAATAATAACAATAATAATAGCATCCTTAATGGTAATAGTAATGGTAATGATAATAACATAAATGATAATAATGATAGTAATAATAATGATAATAATGATAATAATGTTAAAAGTAATAATAATAATAATGAAAAAAGTAATAGTAACAACAACAACAATAATAGTAATAATAAAAATAATAATAATAACAACAACAATAATAAGACAAGTAATAATAACGATAATACCAACAACAACAACAATAATAACAATAATGATAATAATAACAATAATAACAATGATAAGACAAGTAATAATAACGATAATACCAACAACAACAACAACAATAATAATAACTATAATAATAATAATAACAACAACAACAACAACAACAATAACAATAATAAGACAAGTAATAATAACGATAATACCAACAACAACAACAACACATTCCCCTTCGACCTAACAGACTCACGATGAACACGCTCCTTGGTGGGAAGGCGACCTCTGCTCTTGCAACGATACGGCTTGCATACGGCAACGCTCCTTCCCCTCAGGCATGGGCGGCGTGGGCGGGAGCTGTGGGCGGAGGGCGTGGGCGGCAGGAAGAGGACAGCGTGTTATAACCTACTCTGTGTTTGGAAATTTGACGAAATACTGGAATGGCTTGGAAGATATACTCGTTACGGTGAGTAGTGTTTGTTGTTATTTGATTGTTTGTGTTTGTTTGTTGATATTTGTTTGTGTGTGTTTGTTTGTTGATATTTTGTGTTTTTTTGTATGTTTTTTTTCTGTGTTTGTATTTGTGTTTGTGTGTGTGTTTGTATTTCTGTATGAATGTGTTTGTGTGTGTGTTTGTGTGTGTGTGTGTGTTTGTGTGTGTGTGTGTGTGTGTGTGTGTGTGTGTGTGTGTGTGTGTGTGTGTGTGTGTGTGTGTGTGTGCATGCGTGTTTGTTTGTGTGTGTGTGGTTGTAGTTATGGTTGTGTGTGTGGTTGTGTTTATATGCGTGCGTGTGTGTTTGTGTTTGTGTGAGTGTGTATGTGTGTGTGTTTTTGTGTTTGTGTGTGTGTGTGTGTGAGTGTGTGTGTGTGTGTGTGTGTGTGTGTGTGTGTGTGTGTGTTTGTTTGTGTCTGTATCTGTATAAGCGTGAGATATGTGCCTGTAAGCGTAGACACGTATATAAACGAAGACGTACATTTGCAGAGTACAGTAGTTTTTTCTTTTCTTTCACACCGTCATGGATTGATTTAATGTTGATGAGTTATAGTGGTGATAATGTCGATAGTGGTGATGATCAAGGTGATTGTGATGATGGTGATGATGATGATTGTGATGATGGTGATGGTGATTGTGATGATGGTGATGATGATGATTGTGATGATGGTGATGGTGATTGTGATGATGGTGATGATGATGATTGTGATGATGGTGATGGTGATTGTGATGATGGTGATGATGATGATTGTGATGATGGTGATGGTGATTGTGATGATGGTGATGATGATGATTGTGATGATGGTGATGGTGATTGTGATGAGTGATGATGATGATTGTGATGATGGTGATGGTGATTGTGATGATGGTGATGATGATGATTGTGATGATGGTGATGGTGATTGTGATGATGGTGATGATGATGATTGTGATGATGGTGATGGTGATTGTGATGATGGTGATGATGATGATTGTGATGATGGTGATGGTGATTGTGATGATGGTGATGATGATGTTGATGGTGATGATGATGGTGATGGAGATGATGATGGTGATATTGATGGTGATGAAGGTGATGTTGATAAGAATAGTTGTCTTTATTATGAATGATGATATTGATAATTTTATTGATGTTAATACTGCCCTTATACTTTAATTAATGTACTGATAATAACAACAATTCCCAATAATAATAAAAATGCTAATAGTTTCTTCATCAACATTAAAGAAACTGTATGTGTTATAACAATGATAACATAATGAAAATACCAGAAATATTATATCGATTAAAATACATGCACAATGAATATATTAGTACAACTTGCAACGCGATATGCCATAATAATGATAAAAATAACAATTAATGTATTTTATTTATAATAACGAAGTGTTCCATACCAAAACCAGCCTTTAGAATTTTTCAGGAAAAAAAAAATGGAAGTGGGGTTACCTGTCTTATATGACGAACCTAGGTATCAATTACGTTATTAATAATGATAATAATAGTTAAATATTATATAATAATGATGATAGTTATAATGAAAATCATAAAAAGCTACAAAAATAAAATAAAATAAAAGCGCCCGATTCTCACTCCGATATCACACACACACACACACACACACACACACACACACACACACACACACACACACACACACAAAAAAAAAAAAAAAAAAAAAAATATATATATATATATATATATATATATATATATATATATATATATATATATATATATATATATATATATATATATACAGTAAAACCTGAGAAAACCGAACTGTAAAAAATGTCCGGTTTGGACAGTGATCCGGTTTGGAGAGGGTGGGCTTTTAACACAGGCCGCCTATTGAAATGGGAAGGGACTGAGAATATCGTCCGGAATGGACAGTGATCCGGTTTTCTCAGGGTCCGGTTTTCTCAGGTTTTACTGTATATGTATATATATATATATATATATATATATATATATATATATATATATATATATATATAACAACAACAAACTCTCAAACTATCCCCAGACTAAACAACTCTACCAAGGGTGGAACGTATGGTTGTACACGATACCCAGTGGGCGTGAGAACATCCTCTGCCCTCTCATGCACGCCCATTCTCATCTCTTCATCTGTGACGTCACCAATCTTCCCCCGCCCCTTGGTGACGTCACCGAGGTTAATCCAAGAATGTGGCGGTTTCTGGCAATGGGCGACGAAAGGCTGTCTGCCATGGTTGTGAGGGATACGGACAGTAAGGTATTTTCTTCGCATTTTTTTTTTTATTATTTTTTGGTGTTTGTTTTTAAATTAGTGGTGTCTTATCTTTTGTTTCTTTTATTTTATCTATTTTATTTATCTAATTCATTTATTTATTAAGTGTTTATTCATTTTTATATTTACTACTATTATTATTATCATCATTATTATTGATATTATTGTTTTTGCTGTTGGTCTTGTTATTTTTGTTTGTTTTTCATTTTACTGATAGCGTAAGCCGATAGATTTAAGAGTTATCGACCCTGTATATATATATATATATATATATATATATATATATATATATGCGTGTGTGTGCGTTACCTACTTATACGCTTCCTTTCTTCGTCTTTTTCCCCTAATTAATACTTTTGTTGTTCTTTCTTTTTCTCCCCCCCCCCCCCCCTCTCTCTCTCTCTCTCTCTCTCTCTCTCTCTCTCTCTCTCTCTCTCTCTCTCTCTCTTCTCTCTCTCTCTCTTCTCTCCCTCCCTCTCCCTCTCTCCCTCTCTCTCCCTCCCTCCTTCCCTCCCTCCCTCCCTCCCTCCCTCCCTCCCTCCCTCTCCCTCTCCCCCCCTCTCACTCCCTCCCTCTCCCCCTCTCCCTCTCTCTCCTCCAGATCACCGAACGAGAATCCAAAGCCGTGACGAACTGGCTTACCTACAACACGAGTTTCCACCTGATGCGAGACCACCCTTTCCACGTCTCGCCCGTCCTCGCAGGTCTCTGGGGCGCCCGCTGGGACCTGAGGGACAGGGGCGGCTCGGTCCTGTCGTCGGGGGCCTTGAGGGAGCTCAGGGACGCGATGATGGCGAAGGGGAAGAGGCCGTTTTATCGAGAGCAGGATCAGGTGGTTCTTAAAGTGAGGCTCTCGATTATTTTTTCCATTTTTAGTTTGTTTTTCTGTTTCTGGTTCCTTTTGGTGTCTCTGTCTTTCTCTTTCTCTCGCTCTCGCTTTCTCTTTCTCTTTCGGTGTTTTTGTCTTTCTCTTTCTCTTTCTCTTGCTCTCTCTTTCGCTTTCGGTGTCTTTGTCTTTCTCTTTCTCTTTCGCTGTCTCTGTCTTTCTCTTTCTCTCGCTCTCGCTTTCTCTTTCTCTTTCTCTGTCTCTGTCTTTCTCTTTCTCTTTCGCTGTCTCTGTCTTTCTCTTTCTCTCGCTCTCTCTTTCTCTCTCTCTCTCTCTCTCTTTCTCTCTCTCTCTCTCTCTCTTTCTCTTTCTCTTTCGCTGTCTCTGTCTTTCTCTTTCTCTCGCTCTCTCTTTCTCTCTCTCTCTCTCTCTCTCTCTTTCTCTTTCTCTTTCGCTGTCTCTGTCTTTCTCTTTCTCTCGCTCTCGCTTTCTCTTTCTCTTTCGCTGTCTCTGTCTTTCTCTTTCTCTCACTCTCTCTTTCTCTTTCTCTCTCTCTCTCTCTTTCTCTTTCTCTTTCGCTGTCTCTGTCTTTCTCTTTCTCTCGCTCTCGCTTTCTCTTTCTCTTTCGGTGTCTCTTTTTCTCTGCCTAGCTCTCTCTTTCTCTTTCTTTTTTGCTGTCTCTGTCTTTCTCTTTCTCTCGCTCTCTCTTTCTCTTTCTCTTTCGATGTCTCTGTATTTCTCTTTCTCTCGCTCTCTCTTTCTCTTTCTCTTTCGATGTCTCTGTCTTTCTCTTTCTCTCGCTCTCTCTTTCTCTTTCTCTTTCGATGTCTCTGTCTTTCTCTTTCTCTGGCTCTCTTTTTCTTTTTCTATTTCTCTGGCTTTCTCTTTCACTCGCTCCCTCTTTCTGTTTCTCTGTCTCTGACTTTCTCTCTCTTTCTTTTTCTCTTTATTTCTCTCTCTCTCTCTCTCTCTCTCTCTCTCTCTCTCTCTTTCTCTATCTATCTATCTGTCTCTCATTATCTATATATCTATCTCTATCTCTCTCTATCTCTCTACCTCTCTCTTTCTCTTCTCTTCTCTTCCTTTCTCTCATTCTCCCTCTCCCTCTTTTCTTTCTAGTGGATTAGTGGTTAGCGATGGTAGAGCACTGCGACGTAAAAAGTAATAAATGCACAAGGGAATGAATAGGAAACAGACAAAATAAAAAGATAAATGTCTTCCTATTCGTCTTTCTGTACATGTTGCTGTGTTTCTGTTACTGTGTCATCGTCATCGTCATCTTCATCGTCATCGTCATCATCATCCCCTTCATCACCATTATCGTCGTCATCATTATCTTCATCATCATCATCGTCATCATCATCATCTTATTCATCATCAGCAGCAGCATCATCGTCATCAGCATCATCATTGTCATCATTATCATCATCATTATCATCATCATTATCATCATCATATTCATCATCATCATTATAATCATCATCATCATCATCATCATCACCACCATTACTATTATTATTACTGTTATCAACATCATCACCATTGTCACCATTTTCATCACAATTATTCTTATCACCATAATCATCATCATTGCCATCATCATCATCAGCATCTTCTTCTTCATTATCATCATCATCATCATCATCACCATCACTACCACTATTATTAATACTATTATCAACATCATCATCACACTTATTCTTATTACCAAAATCAAAACAGAAATAAGAATCGTTTGATTTACTATCACAAAAAAATGATTGAAAATTAGGCCTTCTGAATATAACAATTTTTATTTACATTGGCAAATTATCAATATATTAAAGGCCACTGGATCAATACACACTGATTAAATTATGCACTTGCTGTAAAAATTAAATGATTATTTTTTTTAATATGACTGGCAACACCTGTACGTTTGTTGATATGTGAAAAAAATACGAAGATGGGGATAAGAATATTCCGAGGATCTTTCCTCTTCTCTCTCTCTCTTCTCTCTCTCTTCTCTCTCTCTCTCTTCTCTCTCTCTCTCTCTTTCTCTCTCTTCTCTCTCTCTCTTCTCTTCTCTTCTCTTCTCTTTTCTCTCTCTCTCTCTCTCTCTCTCTTCTCATCTCTTCTCTTCTCTTCTCTCTCTCTCTCTCTCTCTCTCTCTCTTCTCTCTCTCTCTCTGTCTCTCTTTAGCACCCCTCTCTCTCTTCATTATCAACATTATCATCATTACTATTATTATTTTCTGTGTCATTATATATTGTTATGTTGTACCATCACTATAGTTATCATTATCACTATCTCCCATCATCATTATCACCATCATCTTCATCATTATCATCATCATCATCATCTTCATCATTCCCATCCCATTCTCCTCCCCCTCCCCCTCCACTTCCTCCCCCTTTCTCCCTCCCCCTTCCTCTTCCTCTCTCTCCATCACCACCATCCTTCCTCACACTTCTCCCCAATTGCAGAACGTGTTGTGGCCTATTATGAAAAGTAGCCTGACGTCCTCCTCCTCCCCCCCCCTCCTCCTCCTCCCTCCCCCTTCTCCTCCTCTTCCTCCCTCCCCCTTCTCCTCCTCTTCCTCCCTCCCCCTTCTCCTCCTCTTCCTCCCCCTCCCCCTACCTACTCCTCCCTCCCCCTTCACCACCAACTTTCCTCACACTTCTCCCCAATTGCAGAATGTGTTATGGCCTGTTATGACAAGTAGCCTGACGTCCTCCTCTTCCTCCCTCCCCCTTCTCCTCCTCCTCCTCCCTCCCCCTTCTCCTCCTCTTCCTCCCTCCCCCTTCTCCTCCTCTTCCTCCCTCCCCCTTCTCCTCCTCTTCCTCCCTCCCCCTTCTCCTCCTCTTCCTCCCTCCCCCTTCTCCTCCTCCTCCTCCCTCCCCCTTCTCCTCCTCTTCCTCCCTCCCCCTTCTCCTCCTCTTCCTCCCTCCTCCTCCTCCTCCTCTTCCTCCCTCCCCCTTCTCCTCCTCTTCCTCCCTCCCCCTTCACCACCAACTTTCCTCACACTTCTCCCCAATTGCAGAATGTGTTGTGGCCTATTATGAAAAGTAGCCTGACGTCCTCCTCCTCCCCCCCTCCTCCTCCTCCTCATCTTCATCATCATCATATTCATCATCATCATTGTCATCATCATCATCGTCATCATCACCACCATTACTATTATTATTACTATTATCAACATCATCATCACCATTGTCACCATTTCATCACAATTATTCTTATCACCATAATCATCATCATTGCCATCATCATCATCATCTTCTTCATCAGCATCTTCTTCTTCATCATCATCATCATCATCACCATCACTACCACTATTATTAATACTATTATCAACATCATCATCAAAATTATTCTTATTACCAAAATCAAAACAGAAATAAGAATCGTTTGATTTACTATCACAAAAAAATGATTGAAAATTAGGCCTTCTGAATATGACAATTTTTATTTACATTGGCAAATTATCAATATATTAAAGGCCACTGGATCAATACACACTGATTAAATTATGCACTTGCTGTAAAAATTAAATGATTATTTTTTTTTTTTAATATGACTGGCAACACCTGTACGTATATTGATATGTGAAAAAAATACGAAGAAGGGGATAAGAATATTCCGAGGACCTTTCCTCTTCTCTCTCTCTCTCTCTCTCTCTCTCTCTTTCTCTCTCTTCTCTCTTTTCTCTCTCTCTCTCTCTCTCTCTCTTTCTCTCTCTTCTCTCTCTCTCTTCTCTTCTCTTCTCTTCTCTCTCTCTCTCTCTGTCTCTCTTTAGCACCCCTCTCTCTCTTCATTATCAACATTATCATCATTACTATTATTATTTTCTATATGTTGGTATATATCATTATATATTGTTATGTTGTACCATCACTATAGTTATCATTATCACTATCCCCCATCATCATTATCACCATCATCTTCATCATTATCATCATCATCATCATCATCTTCATCATTCCCATCCCATTCTCCTCCCCCTCCCCCTCCTCTTCCTCCCCCTTTCTCCCTCCCCCTTCCTCTTTCTCTCTCTCCATCACCACCATCCTTCCTCACACTTCTCCCCAATTGCAGAACGTGTTGTGGCCTATTATGAAAAGTAGCCTGACGTCCTCCTCCTCACCCCCTCCTCCTCCTCCCTCCCCCTTCTCCTCCTCTTCCTCCCTCCCCCTTCTCCTCCTCTTCCTCCCTCCCCCTTCTCCTCCCCCTCCCCCTCCCCCTCCCCCTTCCTCTTCCTCCCTCCCCCTTCACCACCAACTTTCCTCACACTTCTCCCCAATTGCAGAATGTGTTATGGCCTGTTATGACAAGTAGCCTGACGTCCTCCTCCTCCTCCCTCCCCCTTCTCCTCCTCTTCCTCCCTCCCCCTTCTCCTCCTCTTCCTCCCTCCCCCTTCTCCTCCTCTTCCTCCCTCCCCCTTCTCCTCCTCTTCCTCCCTCCCCCTTCTCCTCCTCTTCCTCCCTCCCCCTTCTCCTCCTCTTCCTCCCTCCCCCTTCTCCTCCTCTTCCTCCCTCCCCCTTCTCCTCCTCTTCCTCCTTCCCCCTTCTCCTCCTCTTCTTCCCTCCCCCTTCTCCTCCTCTTCCTCCCTCCCCCTTCTCCTCCTCTTCCTCCCTCCCCCTTCTCCTCCTCTTCCTCCCTCCCCCTTCTCCTCCTCTTCCTCCCTCCCCCTTCTCCTCCTCTTCCTCCCTCCCCCTTCTCCTCCTCTTCCTCCCTCCCCCTTCTCCTCCTCTTCCTCCCTCCCCCTTCTCCTCCTCTTCCTCCCTCCCCCTTCTCCTCCTCTTCCTCCCTCCCCCTTCTCCTCCTCTTCCTCCCTCCTCCTCCCTCCCCCTTCCCCCTCCCCCTCCCCCTACCTCCCTCCCCCTTCACCACCAACTTTCCTCACACTTCTCCCCAATTGCAGAATGTGTTATGGCCTGTTATGAAAAGTAGTCTGACGTCCCATGACAGTTTCAAATGCAAGATGTATCCTGCAGGGACAAAGCCATTTCCTACGAGGCGAGAACATGGCCTGTATGTAGGGAACAGAGAGTGAGTAACTGCTGTGAGAAGTTGTGGTGGAGTAGTTGTTAATTATGGTCATTAAGGAGTTATTATCGTTAAGTAATTAAGTATCATTATTAATGAGTTCCTATCGTTAAGTAGTTAAGTATTATTATTAAATAGTTAACTATGATTATTAAGAAGTTATTAGCGTTAAGTAGTTAAGTATCATCATTAAGGAGTTCCTATCGTTAAGTAGTTAATTATGGTTATTAATGAATTCTTATCGTTAAGTAGTTAATTACGATTATCAAGGAGTTATCGTTAAGTTGTTAACTATGATTATTAAGGAGTTATTATCGTTAAGTAGGTGACTGATTATTAAGGAGTTACTATCATTAGATGAAGTAGTTAATTATGATGATTAAGTCGTTCTTATTAGTAGTTTTTAGTAGTAGATGAAGTAATAGTTAATTGTGAAGAATAAGCTGACCTATTATGAAGTATTTAATTACTGATTATTAAGTAGTTATTAGTAGTAGATGATGTAGTTAATAATGATGATTAAATAGTTCTTATCATTAAGTATTTAATCGCAATCATTAAGTAGTTATTATTAGTTAATGAATTAGCAGTTAATTATGGTAAATTAGGAATTAGTTACACTTATTAAGAAGGAATTGATAATGATTATTAGGTAGAAATTAATGATGATTATTAAGTAGTAATAACTACTGACGAAAGGATAATCAATTATAACTATTGATTAGTAATGAATCATGATTATGAATTAGTGATTAGTTATAATTTCTATAACTGTAATCATAGTCATTCTCAAATCATCAAGTAATAGTGATTATGAATATTAATCATGAATATTAAAGAGGAATTAAGTATAATTATTTAATAGCAATTAGTTATAATTATTTAATAGCAATTAGTTATAATTATTAAGTAGTAAGTGTTTATAATTACCATAATTACCTATAAGGTTGGTCAGCCTCAAAACAAGCCAACAAAATAAGGCATATAGCATATACAATTTTGGGGGATGTGGCTGCTTAACCCATTCACGCCGGGTGTCACGTATATGGGACGGGCCCACTGTGAGTTTACTTGTTTAATTGTTTTCACACATAGATGGCTACACTTGTACTTGTACTGCCTGTCTCGCCTGTTTACCCTTTTCTTTAATTTACGAAAATATTATACGTTATCTTATTTTGCTGTTACTAACATTATAGTAATTATAATGTTTATAATAAAAATAACCATCGATATTCACTGTAATAGTAAAAATACATTTTCCCGCCAAATGAAATCAGGTAAGGCAGAGCCATCTAGTGTAGAAAAATTTCACAAAAAGTATAAAAATTGAGCACGGATTTCCCCCCATTTTTTGTTCATTTTTACCCGGCGCGAATGGGTTAAAATTATCATTATTATTATTATTATTTTATATACGAATACATTTTCCCACTTTTCTGGTCAACTTTTCTTTGGGTTAAAAAAACTAACAAACTATCTTTTGCTTTGAAGTTATACCTTATGATATTATCTTTTAAAATGCAACCAAAAATAATTTGTTCAGATCAGACGACAGAATGGGCAAGGGGTGGAGTTTTATTATATATATATATATATATATATATATATATATATATATATATATATATATATATATATATATATATATATATATATATATATATATATATATAAATTTAACTAATTACATCAGTGATTTTTATTGGTCTTG